ACCTCCTGGGCTCAAGCAATTCTCCCACCTCAGCCTCCTGAGTAGCTAGGACCACAGGGGTGCACCACCATACTCAACTAATGTTTTATTTTTTTGTAGAAACAGGGTCTCACTATGTTGCCCAGGCTGGTCTCAAACTCCTGGATGCAAGTGATCCTCCCACCTCAGCCCCACAAAATGTTGGGATTATAGGCATAAGCCACCAAGACTGGCCTTTTTTTGTTGTTGTTGTTTTGTTTTTTTGTTTGTTTGTTTTTTAGCCACTGTCTTGCTCTGTCACCCAGGCTGGAATGCAGTGCAATGGTGGGATCACAGCTCACTGCAGCCGCAACCTTCTGGGCCCAGGTGCTCCACCTCGCCCTTCCATGTAGCTGAGACTACAGGCATGTGTCACCACACCCAGCTAATTTTTATATTTTTAGTAGAGACGGGGTTTCACCATGTTGCCCAGGCTGGTCTTAAGCTCCTGGGCTCAAGCAATCCTCCTGCCTCGGCCTCCTGAAGTGCTGGGATTACAGGTATGAGCCTCTATATTTGATAGTGTACATTTCAGGATAGAGCAGGGAGCCCTGATGACCAGTGTTTGGAGAGGTCAGGGTCTGTCCTCAGCAAGGTCTCCTCCACACTCTGTGTGGAGCCATGAGGAGCGTCAGGCCTGGAGCCCCTGAGGGGCCTTCTCTTGGACAGGCAGCCTACACCATTACCGCAGCCAAACCTGCCCTTTGAGGAATAGAAGAGAAATATGCAGGCTGACAGGTCAGAGCTGGAGCCCAGTTTGGCTGGCTCAGGCCGGTTTGAGATCTGCTCGTCCACTCAGGGCCTCTGGAGGGGAAAGCTAGAGTTGGCAGCAGACAGCTAACTTGGTGGGCTGGTCATGGGCAGCCCTTGGAGGCTTGCTTTTGCCCCACTCCCCAGGACATGGCTGTGGGGAAGTCTAGGCTGCCGTCCTCTTTCTGACTTAGGTACAGGGGCTCCTGTAGTGGACTGGAGTTCCCTGTTGTCTGCTCATCTGAAAGAAGGAAGGTCTCTGACCTACCAATCGGAAGCCCCGTGCCCCACGTGGGCTCTGACCCAACCTGTCATCCTTCCTTGGCTGCCTGCAGAGAAAAGAAAACAACAGTCCTTTTCCCCAGGCTGGAGTCTAGGGGAGTCCCCTGTTGAGTGGCTCTGAGACTATTCTGGCCACAATCAGGGGTAGGGACAGGAAGCTGGAAACAGAGTCCCATTCAAGGAACTGTATTTTGCATGTGAGAGGCAAGGCAAACCTGCCTCTCTTGGGATTGCCAGGCCTACCCTCCGGTAGTTCCTGGTGGACCTTCCATCTCCCATCCCCCGCCCACCTTCACAGTCCTGATGCTTTCGGGGCTGGAGATTCAGGAGAGCATTTGGAGAGGAAGCACGCGGGCCATGGTGGGGGGCTGTTGGGCTCGGCTCGAGTGAGTCGGGGGGGTCTGTGGCACTTGGCTGTGTGCTGTCTACATGATCAGAGAAGCCGAGCACCACTATCTGAGGTCCTTCAGGAAGTGGTTGGAGCTGGGCCAGAGTGGGGCTGGGTGGAAGGCAGCGCCCTCTGTACTGTAATCAGGAAGGGTGCTCAGAGATGGCTCCAGGCTCTCCACGCGGCAGCCATCCTTGCCCATCAGCATGGCCAGGAAAGAGACAGGACTCAGACCAGATTGCCTAGGCTTGCCTCCCAGTTCTGCCATTTGGGTTGTCTCAGGCAGATGACCTCCCCTTCTGGAGCCTCAGCTTGCTTGTTCTATAAATGGGAATGAGCAGCGCTACTCTGCAGGATGTTGGAGGGATTCATATAATATGGGTAAAGGGGCCGGGCGCGGTGGCTCAAGCCTGTAATCCCAGCACTTTGGGAGGCCGAGACGGGTGGATCACAAGGTCAGGAGATCGAGACCGTCCTGGCTAACACGGTGAAACCCTGTCTCTACTAAAAAATAC